GTTCAACGCGCCGCCCTGCCCCCGACGTTGGTTGGCATCGCCAGTGGGGCGCAGAGTTCCAGCCAATCGACAGATCAACACCTCGCGGCCCGCTTCGGCACCACTCGAACCGGGCACACGCTGCCATGGAACGGGGATCCGTGGATCTGGCGCGCGGGCGCCAGATCCATGCATCGGAGAAGGTACGCACGCGGCCAGAGCCACCCGATTTGGCCCAGGAGCGCGCTGCTCTCATACGACACAAGACACGTCGCTAATGCACGCGCCTTGACCGATGTTTTCGCCTCCTCGACCGAAGTGCGCCCCCCTCCCTGGCCTCGAGGTCCCCCTCGCCGGGGCGCGTCCGCGGCGGCGGCGGCCCTGGTGGCGCTATCCGGGACCGTTGCCTCGCGGGGCCAAGGGGGGGGAGCAGGACAAGGGCTGAATGGGGCCAGGGAAGCGGCCCAATCCTCCTGCTCCTCCTCCCCCTCCTCCCCTCCTCCTCCTCCTCCTCCTCCTCCTCCTCCTCCTCCTCCTCCTCCTCCTCTTCGTCCTCCTCCTCCTCCTCCTCCTCCTCCTCCTCCTCCTTCTCCTCCTCCTGCTCCTCCTCTTCCTGCTCCTCCTGCTCCTCTTCCTCCTCCTCCTCCTTCTCCTCCTCCTCCTCAAGCAACTCGGGTTCGAGCGGTGGTGGTGCCCCAGCGGGCGCCCTCCCACCTGCAGAGCTCGCCTCTGGGCTTCCACGCAGTGCTTGAGGGACTCTGGTCTTTCACACAGTCAGATTTGAAAGGCCATCGACCAACACAGAGGCAGTTTCAGCGACGGCGGCTCTTTGGAGCCGATGCAGCGAGTGCAACACATGCGAGTGGAATACGATCCTGCTGAGGCACCATCTCAAGTGTGCAGGATGTGGCAGCAAGATTGAGTTGTTCCGCCCCAAGCCCAAGGTCCGCTTCAGCGACCACGAGGAGAAGGGCGGTGACGACGACCTGTGGTTCGACGCGGACAGCGGCAGCGAGTCGGAGGGGGTGCGTAAGCCTTCCAGCAGGCATCCTCCGCTCGTCTCGGGAGCGCGCGGCCCCCCCTGGAGGCAAGCGTGGCGGCGGCGGCAAGGGCAAGGGCACTTCGGTCCAGGATCTCCTGCAGCAGGCCGTCTCCTCGGCCAAGGACCCGCAGCTCCAGGCCGACCTCCAGGCTCAGCTGGACAAGCTCGTCAAGGGGGGCATCTCCTCCACGCCGAAGGTGAGTGTGTCCGAGGAGTTCAGGCGAGCTGGCGGAGCATGGCGGGATGCAGAACATCGGCACCAACAAGCAGTGGCGAACGTGGTTCGCTTACGCAGCAATCTGACGGCTGCGGAGGCGAATGAGAAGACAGCGGCCCTGGCATTGGCGGAGGCGGCGGACAGCAAGCTCCTGGCAGCCCAGGCGGTCGCCAAGGCGGAGGGAGTGAAGGTCGACGACGCCGCCGCCGACGACAAGAGCCAGGACAAACCCATGATCAGCATGAAGTGGGATGAGGCCTTCTTCGACAACCTCGACAACCTGGGGGGCTACGGAGGAGGAGAAGACAGCGCTGACGGGACTTCCAACTCGAGAGCGCGAAAGCTCACCTCCAAGGCAAAGAGGAGGAGATCCAGCAGTGGTTGCAGAAGGTCCAGACACATCGGAAGGAGATCGAGGAACGGCTCGCCAAGAAGAGGCGCCATGCCGCCCCAGGCGACCCCGCAGGCGCTGCAAGCACGGCAGGCGGGCAGCGCCCCCCGCCAGCCGACGCCCCAGCAGCCGAGGGCGCCGCCGCCTCGCCTGCCGCGGGCCCAGGGGCCAAGGCGGCGGAGCCAGGCGATCGCCTAGCCCGGCTGGCCCAGGAGGCAGAGCGGCCGTCGCATGTCAAGTTCCTGTGCAGGAGGTACGGGCAGCGGCTCGCCATTTCAGGGAAAGTACCCAGTCTGTTCTTGATGGGTTCTTACCCATGGCGCTGCATTGTTCAGAACATTCAAGTGTGCTCATTGTGCTGTATGGTCATCCGTCCGTTGCAATGACTTCTAAGAATCACACTCGGTTTCAGCGCATGGGCGCACTTGCCAGGTCTCTCAAGATGCCGCGGGTCATGATAGGTGACTTCAACATGGGCCCATCTTTCTTGCGTCGTTCCGAATTCCCACAGCGCCTGGATGCCGCCATTCGCACAGCAGACGCTGAGGGCACTTGCGCGCAAAAAGAGGGCCCAGACACCATGTTAGATTATAGTACGCGCTCGCAGTCAGCATTGCCGCTTGCGAAGCACGTCCACGTTCGGAGCTCGGGGCTGCGTCTGCGCACCAAGGCGCTAGAGCTCCCGCGCAAGCTTCCACGGGCCCCGAGGCCCAAGCAGGACCCCACGCCAGGCTCTAAGTCTAGTTTGGCCCAGACGCAACGGTCACTCGCGCGGGTCGCTTCTCAGAAAAAGCGGTCTGTGCTGTACGATGCCCTCGTTGGCGATTGCTTCCAGGGGCCCAGGGGTTCTCGACCCATCCCGAGCGGCGAGGAAGCCCCCGATGGGCCCCTGGAAGTAGGATACGATGATGAATTAGCTGCCTGGCCCTAGGAGGAGGAGGATCCTTGGGCCGAGGAGCTTGCTAACCACTGCTCTGGAAAACCCGTCGGCCCTTCCCCTGGCCCCGTCGGCCGCTGGCGGGCCCGCGGGCCCTGCGGGTTCGCTTTCGGCTTCGGTGGAGCCGCCTCCCTGTCGCAATGAGCAGAGCAGCATAGCAGCTACGAATGAAGTCTCACAAGCCAATGGTTCCAGCAATAATCAGATTCAGTGTCCAGCCCTGGAAGTATCTCAACCTGACGGCGCCGAATTTAACGGCCCCCCCGAATGTTGGGAAAGGGCCAGGCTCCAGGTGGGATTTACCCCAGGTGCTTCCCCTGCCTCTGCCGTCTCCCCTCTGCTGCTGAGGTCAGTAGCCTTTTCGGCTCAAGCCTCAAGCTAGCTCGACGGTGTCTGGCCTGTACGCGTCATGGGCCGCCGCTGCTGAGTCGCCTATCCTGGAACACCACGGGAAGCAGGCCTTTCCTGGGATCTCTCGAGCTGAAGGCCCTAGGTTGTCCGTGAGAGAACTTCGGCAGACACTTCACCTTCGAGAGCTACCACTGCGGGGCCAGAGGAGTCAGTGTTGGACGAGGCTACACACGGCGCTGAGGGGCCTCCATAGGCACAGGAATCGCGAGAACGGGCCCAAGCAGGCGCGGCAGTTCGAGGAGGCTCGCGCGCGCCTGCACGGAGCCAGGCCCGAGGCAGTCCACAGCATTCTCAGGAAAGGGCGCGCTCCACCGTGGGCGAAGTGGCTGGAGCTGCTGCTGCGCCCGAGGGAGTTCCGCCTGGTCGTGCTTGACTCCTTCGTCGACTCGGCGAGGGGGGCCATGGAACGTGCTCAACGGGCTGCTTTACACGAGTCGCTGGCTGAGTTCAGAGAGTGGATCACGGAGCCGACAACACCGGGAATCTTGCATAGATCCCGGAAGCTGCAACCTCTTCCACAGCATGGGCTTATTGTTGGCAAGTCAATCTTGGTTCATCCTATTGATGTTATCGACAGTAAGTAAGCAGAAGGCGTTCAAGGATCTTTCGGCACCCAAGGAGCTGGACGAGGCGGCAGTGGTTGAGTTGTTTCGGATGATTCGCGAGGAGGCGGCGAGTGGGCCACGTCCACCAATCTCGGGTGACGACATATACTGTTGTGCTGCGAAGATGAAAAGGAATGCAGGGTTGGGGGTGGATATGTTCACCCCCGTCGACTATCAGAGGCTCCCCAGGCAGGCCATTGAGGAGCTCGCGCTGGTGCTCCAGGCAGTCGAGTCCACCATGACGTGGCCCGTGCAGCTCATGATGGTGCTCTGCCGTTTTCTGCCCAAGAAGACGGCAGGGGATCGGGCCATCGGCATCATCCCCATGCTGGGGCGGCTGTGGTCCTTGATCAGGGAGCCAATCGTCAAGGACTTGTCGCGGGCCAACACTGCAGCGTGGGATGCCGCCATCGAGGGCAACTCGCGCCCTCAGGAGGCCCACATCAGGGCAATCGACGAGGAGCTGGCTCACACCATGGGCATCTGCTTCGAGCACGCGCTGACGGACATCCAGGATTCATACGACTCCATCCCCTGGGATGTCCTGGCGCTGGGAGCTCTGCGCATGGGCTTCCCTCCCGTCGCGCTGGGGCTGGAGCTCCTCCAGTGCGCGGTGTGCAGGTGCTTGCTCCAGGACGGCGCGGCTTCGGAACCTTTTCAGTCGAGCCACAGCGTCGTCCAGGGGCTCAGGGCTGGCACGCGCTTCGCGCGCATCATGACTTACTTTGTGATGAGGCAGGTCACCGCCGCCAGCCCGCAAATGGGCCACCGCCTCTGGCTCGACGACGTGTCCCAGACGGCGGCCAGGCCCAGGCAGGCGGCGCGCAAGAGTTTGGTCAAGTGTACCGTGAACACGGGGAAGGCGCTGGCGAGAAGGATGCTGCGCGCCTCCCCCAAGTCAGTCGCGCTCTGCTCCAAGTTCGAGGACGCGGTGGCGGTGGCACGAGCTGTACGACTCAGAGGATTCCAGATCCAGGCGGCGAGGCAGTCTACGTATTTGGGAATGGATTTTAGCTGCGGGCATCGGGGTCGCGCTATGCGTGTCAAGCACGACCTGAAACATACGCAGATGAGCACCAAGATTGCCAGGCTTTCTCGTGCCTCGCGGGAGTATCATCACACAGCACCGGCTCGAGAAGGCTGGCGGCCAGCCAGCTGGCACGTACGGACATCAAGTGCATGGTATGTTTGGACAGCAGGTTACTGAGTGTCGTCGCGGTTTGGCCAAGTGTGCGCCAGCCCTACCAAGGGCAGGTGCCTCACGACGCTCTTAGACCTGAGAGCGCCAGGCCAAGACCCTGCAGTTGTGTATCCGCGGCGTGCTATAGATCTATGGTTCTCGACGTGGCATTCGCATCCAGACCTTCGGCGGAGTATACGACATGCGTGGTCAAAGATTGTGGACACCTTGACGGACCAGGCACCCAGAGTGCAGGTCAAACGAGTTCAAGGCCCCATTTCAGCGGTCATCCTCCAGCTCCTTCGTTTGCAGTGGCAGCCGACTGGTCCTAGCACATGGTATTTTCAGAGTGAATGGGGTACCACGGAGGAGTGGCAATTGCCAGATGATATTTATACTGGTGTCAAAGCGGTCGACACGCATAGCGGCATCTTGACCGACATTGTCACATCAGCGAGCAAGGAGCTGTGGAGGAAGGCGGCAAGTCATTTCTGCGGGGACGGTGTGCAAGATGGAGTCGACAACGAGTCGTATCGGAGATTGTTCTTCCATCTTAGTCAGCTGAAGGACGGCCCCAGGCTCGCTGAGGTTATGCTGAATGTAGCCACGGGTGCAGCGCGGCCAGA